ACGCCAAGCAATTGAGCCCTATAAAAGCACTGACTAACACTAAGAAACACGAGATTTATATGAATGAATGTATTGATAGCATTTTTCCTCATCATTTGTTTTTGGAAGAGTGCAAGCGATTGAAGACTCAGGAGGACAAGGATAAACTTAAAAGCATTTATGCCGACATCTTTGAGCATGAGTTGTCTCTACATGATGTCATCAATAAGTATTTTAAATATACTGATGACATCACAGGAACAGAAAGCAATGTCGCATATTTAAATAACACTTGTAGAGAGGTTTCAAGGCAGATCAGGAAACGACAGGGCAAACAAAATGAGTTTGAAGTCGGCGAGATCATGATATGCAGAGAGTATAGGAAGACAAAAACCTATAAGTTAAATGTGAATTTTAGGTATGAGATAATTAATATTTCCGATCCTTGGATTACCATTGCTAATATCAAAACACGAGAAGAGATTACATTACATATTGGTATCTTGAGAAGTCATTTTATCTTTGCCTTCTGTTATACTTGTCATTCTGTTCAGGGGTGTTCCATTGATGACGATGTCACCATTTTTGATTGGAACCATCATCTGATAACTCGCGAGTGGCTTTGGACGGGAATCACTCGGGCAAGGGATTTAAACAGAGTAAAATTTTACAAATACAGTAGTGATTTAAACGAAGAGTTTAACGCAAAATGCATTATGAATTATTTTGATAGAAAGGTGTTAGCGTACAAGGAACAGGATCGTAAAAATGGCTTTTGTATTCCAAAAGAAAATTATGTAGATGCCGAATGGTTGAAGGACAACGTCAATGGTAAGTGTGCCAACTGTGGCTGTGGTTTCGTGTTGTCAATGGATTCTGGCAATATAAATTCTAATCTGACTTGTCAAAGGTTATGTAATGATCTTCCCCATACAAAGGATAATGTCATTGCCTTCTGTGCTTCTTGTAATAGATGCTTCAGTGATAAAATAACATATTGATATTTATTTTATAGTATTATATATATATATGAGTGAAAAAGACAAGATAATCAGTGAGGTCTACTACGATCAGGCGGGGTTTGGTAGCATCGCCACCACTTACAAAGATGCAAAAAAGAAAGATGCATCCATAACAATGCAAGATGTCAAGGAGTGGTTTCAAGAGAACGTGGAACGGAAAAAACAACTGTCTGGATACAATTCGTTTATTGCCCCTGATATCAACTTTGAATATCAATTGGATTTGTTTTTTATATCAAAAAATGATTTAGATAATCAAAAATATAGGATAGGCTTATTGCTTATTGATGTATTTTCCCGCAAAGCCGTGGTGGTGCCTATTGCATCCAAGCAACCTGCTGACATCACGGCTGGGATCATGGAGGCATTAAACAAAATGGGAGGGAAACCCAAATTAATTTATTCGGATGACGAGGGAAGCCTGAACACCCAAGATCTTGTTGATTTTTTCAAGGACGAAGGGATCCAAAACTATAAAACACGAGGGCACCCCCATTTCGCCGAGCGTTTCATTCGCACGTTCAAGGACATGCTTTTCAAGAGGGTTGATGCAGACGAGAAAAAGGGAAAGGTTAATATACAATGGGTTGATTACATCTTGAGATCATGCTGACATACAACAGTAAAATGGTTCATTCTGCCCACGATATGACTCCAAACGATGCCCACAAAAAGGGAAACCATCTTGAGGTCAAGATGAAGCTTGAGATGAACAGAATCAAAACCCGTAAATATCCCCCTGTTAGGGTTGGCGATGAGGTCAAAATATACCGCAAAAAAGGGATTTCCGAGAAAGAAAGAACGAGCAACTGGAGCAGTGTCAAATACAAGGTTTCAAGGGTTGAAAAAAAACTTGGTCAAGATTATTATTCTGTTGAAGGGATGAACCGCCCCTACTTGAGGTCAGAGATTCTGAAGGTTTGAAAAAAATGGCGAGAGTTTCCCCTTATATATTCTATCAAACATATCCCCCACCACCCACCCAGAAAAAACAAAACCGAACAAACAAAACAACGACCGAGGGGTTCCGCGCAGGTGCCCGACCGAAGATGAGCTCCTCGTCATCAACCTGCGGACGTGGCGGATGTTTTCAAACCCAAGACTTAATGATGGGCAGAATAAAACCCATTGGGGGACAGGAAAAAAACCCATTGGGGGACAGGAAAAAACCCATTGGGGGACAGAAAAAAACCCATTGGGGGACAGGAAAAAACCCATTGGGGGACAGGAAAAACCCCATTGGGGGGGGGCAAACTTGAAATGCGCTGACAACTGCAGTGAATGACATTGCCACTCTCTTTTTCAAGCGCAAAGCAAATGGTTGTGTCTGACGCACTGACAAAACCAAGGGATTTCAGCCCATGTTGGTATCCGACAATGTCTCCACTGCTGGGGTAGGAGCACTCGCCGATGCGCTGGTGGGGGCCGTCTCCTTGATGCCAACCTCCACCTCTACAAGTTTCTCAAAGTTCTTCCAATCCCATGAGGTGTTGTTCTTGAAGAAATTGGCAGTGAAGACCATGTTGAACACCTGAAGCACCGTTTCCTTGGCATTGTCAAAGTCCTTTGACATCTTAGCGAAGTTGGCAAGGTTTGCGCTCATCATCTTGACGCAGATGCCCGTGGCACGAAGGTCAGACTTGTTGGTGTTGTAATTCACCAAGTCCTTCAAGGCATCACTGCTCATGCCCCGTAGCAACTTCACCATTGCCAACTTCGGGTTCTCCTGTGTGGTCATGTAGATGCTCTCCGCCTTTGTCTTCACATCCTTCATGACGGTCTGGATGTCATCACCGAAGGTCATCTGGTTCATCATCTGAGCACTCACCGTAATCGCCTTCTTCTTTTCCTCAAGCAAGAACTTCTTGAAGGTCTCATCCTTGGCATCCTTCTTCACTGCTCGTCCTCCTCCAGTCAAAGAAGAACGCACCAGCACCAAATCGTCGTCCTTGAGCGCGGTTTTCACCTTCTGCCGGTTGTTGGCCAAGATGTCCTCGCCCTTTTGGAATGTGTGCTTCTTCACATCTTCCTTTTTGAACCCAGCGTCTTTCATGATGATCTCCTTGAGGACGGCAATGCTCACGTTGGGGTTGATTGCAAACTCCTTCTCCGCTTTGTTTGGGAACACATACTTCAGCATCCAAAACTGACCCTGTGGCTCATCATCTGGTTCAGCCGTGGAAGGGGCAATCTCTGAAACACTGACATCTGGAACCTGCGTGGTGGTCTCGGGGATGGACTGGTTGACATTTTCCACCTCTGCCACAAAGACCTCATCCTCCATGTCCTCATCGGCGGAAGGGACACGCTCCTCGTCCTCATCTTGGTTTAAGATGACGACATTGTGGGTCTGAACAAAGCGCTTGGAAACCTGATAGACGCCGTTGTAGGTGGTGACATGTGGTTTGTTCTGGATGTAGGTGATGAGGAAAGCATCCGCTTCCATAGAACCATACATGGTTGGAATGCTGATTTTGCGAAGACCGACAGCGCGACCCTCTGCAGTCTGAACACCTGAAGAAGAAGCACCTTGGTCACGGGGCGACTCTGGAATGCCGTCGCGACCCCCTGCAGTCTGAACACCTGAAGAAGAAGCACCTTGGTCACGGGGCGACTCTGGAATGCCGTCCTTCAAAATCTTCTGCCACTCCTCCTCTGCCTTCTTGCCCATGTCGGTTTTGGCGAAGTCGTTCAAACTACTCGTGAGACGGGACATCAAATCTTGGAAAATAATATCCACCTTTTCACCATCACCGATTGGGTTGCTATCATTGAGTAGCGTCACACCGCTCTTCACATCCAGCTCACCCTCAGAGAAAATGCGGAAATTGTGGGCGTTCTCACTCTCATTCATCTTTGCAATGACTGACTTCTTCAAGTCAAGAACTTTCATCTCACTCTGGTGCTCAACGGAAAGCACCGTGACCTGCATCATCCTGCCCCCTTGCGCCTTCTTCTTGAAGGACACTTCAACCGGCATGGCTTCACACGAGGCACGTGAACAAATGCCACAGATGTCTTGAACTCCGAATTGCTATGGATAAAAACTCAAAAATCAACCTTGAAGCGTCCAACTTATCTGACCCCGACGGATTGACAAACACGGGGCGCGCCTTGTGAGGTTGATGACGTAGAGGTCGTAGCAATGCAGGGCGTGGCGATGGAGACCCAAAATTTAAGGGATTGTTTTCAAGATTTGGGTTAACGGTTTTAATTCTCCCTTTTCCATTGGTTAACCATTTTTCGGGGAGTGATAATTTGTTGAAAATAGGGTTGTAGCCATCTAAAGGCAAGGTGTCCTACTATAGTATGGAGAAAAAGCTGTGTTCAAGATGTAGATATGAGAAAGGTGAAGATAGTTTCGTGTATGGACTCAAAAACTGTGATAAATGCACTGATCAAAAACGAGACTACAACAAACGAACTGTAGACAAGAGGAAAGAATACCGGAAACAGTATCTTGAAGCAAATCGCGAGGAAATTAATCAGAAGCGTAGAGAGAAAACAGCGAATAATGGATATTTGTATTGCCATGTTTGTGAAAGAAGAGTGAACCCAGAAATTTGGGACTTCCATTTGGTTGGAGGTTGTCACCAAGATAATATACTCAAACACTTGAAAGCAGATTATGAACGATTAGTTGAAGAAGCACCTACACAAGAATTCAAGGACAAATATTTTCAAGAAGGTCAAGAGAGGATACAAGAACTCAAAATGACAATGCCTTTGTATAATCCAGCTTTGAGAAGAAAGAAAGTTGATCAGGCTGATGGTGGTGAATTGGACTAAAAAATGAAGTTGATCATTAGAACATTATTTTTCTAATGATTAACTTAGAGGGTTGTTCAATTTGGTGGTTTTGAATGGTGTAATTTGATAGGTGTATTCAGAAAGTGCTCAAAAGTGTAGGGGGGGGTATGGGAAAAAATGCCATCTGACGGACGGGAGAGGCCGGGTCTAACTCCCTCCCCCCTCGCTATCGAGAGGAAACGGGCTGAGGCTGGGATGTCTGCGGGGGCCTTGTCGCAGCAGTACGAGCTCAGCGCCTTTGCTCTGCTTCTTCAAGCGGTCCCAGCCTCGGATTCGATCTTTGGGCTCGAGAAAAAGGGTTTCAAGACCACCATACCTTACTTTGGTGCATTTTGCTTGGATGTTAGGACTTTAACTTTTTGCCATAATGGGTTTTCCATCAAACCAACAAGAATTAAACTTTTTAGCAGGGGAGCAGAAAGCAACCGAGCTTAGTCAGTTGCTCGAGGCGAATCCACCTTTTGACCATTTTCGACCTTTTGGTTTTCCAATGTTGGTCCATGTTTGGAGGTCCCAAAAGGTTGACCTTTTGTTTTTACAGGTCCTTTGGGCAAGTCTAGATACAGAAGAGCTCCCCTACTTGAGTGTTCGATTCGCAAAGATAGCAAGTTGGCAACCCAGCGTTCAGTGGGGTTAGCCTTGTTTGGGGTGCAAAACCCCAACTGGCTAGCCACTACTCAAATTGTCTACTTTTGCCTGGTGAGTGCGATCTTCGTTGACATTGCTTTGCCTGTTAAGGCTGACTGAAGATGAACCAACATGTAAGAATTTCCACGTTTAGTGGACTGGGGGCGGGATAGACATCTATTGGGACGATCAAAATAGATGTGTCCCCCTGTCAATACCAGGACTTGTTTTATTTTTATTTTTATTTATGGGGGGAAGTTCGGCGTGGAGAAATCATCATCTGGGGACCCCTCTAATATACACTGCTGGGATGGATCCCTCATTGCTCCGCACAGGAAGTGCCGAGGCTTGCTAGGACCAAACCCGAGTAGACAACTTGCTCTCCTTGGCTCCTTGTGAGATTTCGAAGCAACGTCAGCCAAGGCTTGAAACCCAGGTGTGCGCAAACCAACAGTCTTTGCCGAGTTTGGCAAAACGGATGTGTGCGGCGAGTGTTGTTTGCAACAAATGTAATTGCAAAGGCCACGCTCAGGTTAACCAACGGGGTTGGGTGAAACTATTTTCGAGATATGTATGGGTCTGTTGTTTTTTTAATATCGGGGGGGGTAGGAAACCAAACAGAAAACCACCGTTTGAGGGTCTTCTAAACAAGTAACTGTGCGGGAAGATGTTGGGAATCGGTGGTAGGGATAGGTCCGCAAGACCTGTACCCAAAGAAAGCAACAGCCCTTTGGATAAACTTCAGGGGACCCCCACATTGGGGGTAGCTCAAAGCCGTGGCCAGACAGCGGGGATTTATGTTCACGAACCACCTAAGGTTCCGGGATGTTCCGGGGTTCACCTTATAAGGGGTGAACAACTCAAGTGGCGAACCACTTCATTGACCGAACACACAAAAATGCCCTTCTTCCAATGGAAATGGACACGGAGCCTCCCCGAGTCGTCCTCCACCTTCCTACTGTGGATGGACAGAATCCTGCACCAGCTAAGACACCCCGGAATGAGTCGATTCCCCTGGAGATAACAACAAACAATGGCTTCCCATGGTTTCTTAGGTGCTGCAGGATTTGTGTCCATCGATATCAGCAACTCTATGATTCCCCGAGCACACCAGCAAAGCCGCCCGAAGCCGCCCGAAAGTCAGGCCCTCTTCGGGAACTTCCGGTGGCTGGTGGGCGCAGTGGTCGTCCTGCTGCTGGCCGGGCACCGAAACTCTTGGGGTCCGACTCGATTTGGGCGGCTCGTCTTTGAGGACACCTGGAGTCTCCATGACCCTGTAAAAATGGGTCAATGACCCCATGATTTTGGGTAATGACCCCATTGTTTTTAAGGGTCATGGAGACTCCAGGTACCCACTGTTTGAGGTTCTTGGGATTTGGTGTGCCTGTTTGTTGGTGGTCCCCCCCAAAAAAAAACAAGAAAAGAACGCGTGGCTTGAAGCGGAAACCAAAGGGAAACAATATTCGTTATTACTTAATTATTTGTTAATTAACTAATTAATTAATTAATTAATTAATTAATTAATTAATTAATGTATTTATTTATTTTTGCCAGTCCTAAAACAAGGCACATATCATCATTTACGGCAAGGTTGCAGTGTTGTCGTTGGGGTTGGTTCTTGCTCTGTCTTCAAGGTTGGGACCCCCCGAGTCGGCGCAACGTTTTCCTTTGGCTTTCCTTTAAAAAGACAGGTGCCCCCCCCCCAACAAAAAGACGAGCCAAGTTTACTGTGGATGGATGAAATCCTTCAGATACCATTCGAAATCGCATCATCCCCGGTTTCGGTGCGACATATATTTTGCGCCACCCAAAGTGTGTCTTGAAAAAACGAAAAACACCAACCAGCCAGCCAGCCAGGCAAACCAACCCAAGCCAAACTAACATGCCGGGAAGAACAGCCACCACACATGCAAGCGATGTTCTGCTTGGCTAGGTCCCCCAGTAGTGCCCTGTCTCACCCCTTTTTTGGTTGGGAGGGTTCCCCTACTACAATTAATAGACTACAGAAAAAAGTTGGTACCCTTATTCTAAGCCTTCAAATCTGGACGACCTACTGTGGATGGACGAAATCCTGCACCACCGTTCAGAAACCCTGGAGTGATCTGATTCCCCAACGTAAATACCAACAACCGTTCTGGTTTCACCCATGGTTTCTCAGGTGGTGCGTCGCAGGGATTTCGCAACCATCCACAGGTTTCCAGCAATGATCACCTCCCGAGGTCCAGCATCAGGGTTTATTTATTTCTTTTAGGGTCCATTTATTTACCAGGGCAACCCGTTTTGGGTACCTGAACCCTCAGAATTCCCTTAAAAATCGGTTTGACCCCCAAAATTATGGGGTGATATCCCATTTTTCTGGGTAGTTTGAGGGTCCAGGTACCTATTTTTGACCAGCCAGTTGGCATCCTTTTCAAACCCGAAAAGGCGCGCGCTTCCTTCTGGCAGGTCCTCGCGCTGCTCCTACGCCGGGCGACGCTGACGAGCTGCTCGGCGAAGTGAGGCGAGCTTGGGACGTCTTCCCTGCAGCTGGCGGGTTTTTTGGGGTGGAAGGGTCAGGGGTCCCAACTTCTTTTTCTTTTGGTGGTTGTAATCATCACCTTTTCGGAGGGGTTGAATGTCTCACGTAGCCTCAGTTGAGTTCAGTTCAGTCGGGGTGTCTGCCTTTTTTGGTGGACGTGTTCCCTTTATTTGCGTGATTTCCCTTTTTTGTGGTGAGGTTTTAAGGGGAAATATTGGCTGACCCTCTTTTGGTTGGTGCTTAAAGGGGAACCAACAGGAAGCCGTTTTGCAATTTTGATGGGTCCCCCAACAAGACACGCCCGGGTGGACAGACTATGGGGGACCCCAACAGATGGTGGTTTGCCCTGGGTTTTCCCTGAGGCCCCAAAAAGGGTAATTGTTACCCTTTAACACAAAGACACATAGTGTGTTCATGTCTTGGTAGATGTCCTGGTTGCCCTCTAGACTGAGAACTGGATCCGTATTACTCTACTTGAAGTATCCATTTTCGAGGAGAACCACCTTTACAAGGAGATCCACATGTTACGAAAATAAATAGGTATCAGTTGTGATTGAAGGCTGAATTGGGGGAGCATGCCTTTGGTCTCCCATCAATCTCTGTTATTGTTGTCGGGTGTTCATTGCGGTCATGACCAAAATTGATATGCACAGAGGTATTTGTTTATCCATCCGTCCGTTTGTCCGTCTGTCTATCCATCTATCTATCCATCTATCTGTCTATCTCTATATCCCTCAATCTGTCTATCTCTATATCCCTCAATCTGTCTAACTCTATGTCTCGCGATGTATTTATTTGTGTGTTTATATGTTTACATGGGGTTCTACAAGTGTTCGTACATCTCTCGCCAAGGCCTGGGCCGGTGGTGTGCCTTCTGGGGCACCGTGGCGAGATTCCGATCAAGGCTTTGAACATCTTTGAACCTATGGACCGTGGATATTTGATCCCTCACTTCCAGTTCCGTTTCGGACTTTAGTCACTTTGTTGGTTTCGAAACCATTTTGGTGGCGCAAAAAGCAGTTTAAGGCTACTTTTTTTCCGATGCGCGAAAGTGAGACCCAATGTTGCAAGTTGTTCCTGGGGCTGATGGAATGCTTGGCTCTCAAGGTGTTGAATGGCTCGTGTCTCGATTTTGGTTGGCTCGTCTGTTTTTTAGCTTGGACCCGTTTAAGACCACATACCGGGGGGTATCCTTCAAAAAAGACAACCCAAAAATGGGTTCCAATTCTTTCTCTGCCAGGGTCATTGGGCAATTTGAGGTTCGGGACATTGCGAAAGCAACCATGAAAGCTTCCATGCGGGAATCCCAACTTGGCTAAAGAGAAGCCATATTGATTGATCCTGCAAGTCAAAACAGACATCAAAACGGCTGGGGCAATTGCTTGATCCATTTTGGTCCATTGTTCGGGGCGGACAAGCCCGGGGCAAGTTCAATGTGTTGCGCTTTGTGTGTTTTTTTTGTTTTTTCCAAACGAGCCTGGATGGTAAGCAACAGCGCGGGTGCAATCAAAGTCTTACTCCCTGAGTTTTTGGACTTGAGTGGTTAGACCAGCTTAGAGCGAAAAGGTTTGGATACTTTTGTTTGCTGCCAATCCACGCAATAAGTGAGACTCACCTATCCTTACTGGAGAGAAACACCCAGATCTCGGCCGGGACCCATTGGGCCTTTGCGGTGACAAGCAGAGGCAAGATGACCTTCCAAGGAGTTTTCAAGATCCCTGCAAAATTACCGACCCGCTCGCGAGGACAGATGTTTTCTTTCTTTGCATGTTGTTCGAGGAATTTGGTAAGGATCAATGTCATGTGCGGGTACGCGGCTCCTTGAGGATTTGTCAAAAGGAAGCGGTAGAAAATGCCATACACCTCGCGGAACCACCTCGAGGTTTTGACACCATAAGATACCCTTGATTAACATGGATCCCGGGGCATTGTTTCTGGAGGGATCTCCCAAAAAGGGGATCCTTTTTTTTGGGGGTTCCATGAGCAGCACGATTGGATGTTGTTGAAAGATAATACTGCCCAGGCGATTCGTGATGTTGCAGAGAACCTCAAACACAGCCGTGCTATGTGGAGGGTGGACGTGTTTCCAGCTGTACTGCCAGTGTTCCTTCTTCTCAGAAATAGCCCAAAACCAGGGGTCTTGTTTCTCCAAACGACGATCGGTGCACACAATCGAGGATCAGCCCTGTTTGGTTTATGTTTAGTCGTATTCCCAGCAAACAGGTTCTGCGAACTTGTTTGCTTCTCCGAGGGCTGCTGCAAAATAAATGTGCAAAGCACCTTTGCGGTTGCGCCGCGATGGCATGTAAGCAGAGCGTCCAGAAGTGGTGCACCTTGTTCTTCTTCCCATTTAGGGGTTCGCCTCTTAGGGTTCACCTTTTAGGGTTCACCCAAACCGAATCAACCCTGAATTGGTGAAAAGACGCAAACAAATGGCTGTGGGTCAAAACCAATGGTCCCATTTTCGGGTACCCATTTTAGAACCTATTTGAGTGGGGATTGGGATGTTCACTGGGGAAAGTTTCCTTCGAGGCATCGTGGAGGGCCTTGGCTTTGTGGCCTTCGCGTCGCTGATCAACGCCGCCTACTCGGCTTGGGCAGGGCTGGGGGTGTTGCTCATGGCGGCTCTGCTGCAGTGCCGTGGACGAAAAGTGCAGTCCAGATGATGCCAGAGGAGGGTGGCGGCGTCTTTTTTTTTGAGTTGGCACCCCACTTTTTTTAGGTCCCCCAGTAGTGCCCTTTTACCCTTTTTTGAGAGGGTTCCCCTACAAAGCGGAATTGGGTCGCCAGGATAATTGCGCAGGTCAATACCCAGCAACATGTTGGCCAGGCCCGCGCGTCCGTTCGTTCCTTTGGCTTAAGCGAAGAGATCTCAAAGTCGCGGTTCGCCAGTTCAAGGCCTTGCTTCGGGTTTCCGACTGGAATCGCAAATCGCTGGCCCAAGGGCCGTGGCTCCGAGAACCCGAAAACGAGAACCAAGGCGACGTCTCCGTTTGGCTGCCAAAAACCAGGATCCTTCGTTCATGTGCGCATGTGCAGGTTCATATATATGGCTTTGACAATTTAATTGGAAACACCCTGCCAAATGCTTGGGACATAAATCCCCACCTAAGTGATGTCCACCAAAGGGTCCCGAAATGAGATTCATGCCCATGTATATATACATATACATTATATGTGTATCTATATATAGTGTTGTATATACAGACATGTATTATATATATATATATATATATTGTCTAGATTTGCGCGAAAGGGAGTCAACAGTTGGATTCCAAAAGCCTGGGGGTGCTTGATTTTGCGGCCACTTACAAAGGTCTAAGAAACCAGCAACACAAAATCCTGAACGAAGCGAGACGAACCGCTTGTATTTGGGTATTTTAGCTAACTTCCCGCAGAGTTGTTTGCAGAAAACCAATTGGGGAACTCTTAATTCCCTTTTTTTTGGGGGTGGCAAATTGAACATAGGGAGGGTGTTGGAAATAAAGAGTTGCAAATATATGACCGCCGGCGTTTGTTCGCCCTATAAAAGCATTTGTTTCACGCCAACAACAAAAACACGTGTTTTTTTACCAACGCCCCAAATTTTTGACCCCGGAAGGTCCAGGTATCTCCTGGGCGCCTGCCTTGAAAAGAATCCCAGGTTCACCCTTGCCCGGCGGGAGCTGCGTGCCTGGCGTACTTGGCGGGCGGCCGCCTGGATGGGAAATGCTGGAAAGCGACGATCGAGGGATCGACTCTGGTTCGGGCGGTGGGCTCGGTTTTGTTGAGGGATCCCGAAAATAGCGGGTATCCAACTTTGGCTTCCCTTAACATCACCTTCCAAGAAGGTTGGTTTTTAGCCTTCAAAAAAGACCCGCACAGTGTGGTCTTTTTGGTAGGTACCCTTGAAACACCTCTAGGGAGCCGTCGCCAAATCACACTTGAAGCTGCCACTTGGAGGTTCCCTTCAACGGGAAACGGACGGAGGGAACCCTGGTCTACCAGTGGCATCGCGGTTGGCTATTCCCGGCCTGTCTCCCTTGCAGTAACGTCTGAAAAAGCGATGTGTTCACCGTCGTGGGCTTTTGGTCCAAAGATGTACCCCTTTTGGATGGCTTCACCGGTGACCAGTGAAAACAACAATACCCTAGTCTTCCGAGCACCCTTAACAACTGTGGGTCCTGCATCGGCTCGGGTTTCTGAAACTGTAGCCATAGCACAGGTCCAATCAACGGCGATTGCAGGGTTGGACACCGGATCAAAGTTGATCTCGGGACATGGAGGTGGCCCTCTCCAGCAAACCGACCAAACCGACCTGAGTCACAATCAAACGACAATCCCAACCATAAATAGCTGCGGGAATCCGCCTTCATAATTCTTTAAAAGGTGCTGGGTCGACCATTTTAATACCGGGTTTTGATTTTGACTCACCTGTAAACCCACCAAACCGACCAAACCCACCTGTTGAGTTAGCCAAATTCTTCTGAGGTGACTCTGGGCATGCACTGCAGCCTGGTGGTCGTGGTCGCCCTCTGCATGTGGTGCATGCAGGGCAACTCCCACTGGTCGCTCGGTTGCGCAATGTTGCGCAAATGGCCTGTGGGTTCCGAAAATTCTGGACCTGAGCGGGAGAGAAGCATGACAGCTGCCTAGTTTTCGAAAACGCTATGACCTCTTGACGCTGTTCCGCGGTTTCTTGACCCGCGCCGGCCCTTCCCAATGCAAAACGGGGGCCGCATCGTTTTCCTCCTTGCCTTGGAGTACATTGATATATATATATATATATACATATATATGTGTATATATATATATATATATATATATTGCGAGGACCCCTTCAAGGAGTCGGTTTCAATCATTGTGACTCCAGCCATACCCAGAAAGACAAAACAACTGGTGACTGCAAGTGGGTTTGCTCTTGAGGATTCTCTTGAGTCTTGCGTGGCAGTTATAACTCAAGGTATTCATCTTCATCCCCCAGCTAGGAGGTGCCCTTTCTCACCCCTTTTTTGGAACAGGGTTCCCCCACTTAACTTGTCAAAACCGAAGAAAACAAATCGGGTACCCTTATCTAACCTCTCAAATCTGGAGGACCTAGCCGGTCGTTTTCGAGCTTTCGAGCTCGTGGGGTCTCTTTCAGACACAAATTCCACCAGGTCCAATCAGACCTCGCGGGCCACATGGGGAGCCTTCCCGTTTTGCGGCCTCAGGCGGGCCGACGCGGAAGCAACAAAAAACTGCTTTGGTTTGCTGAGTTTAACAGCGCCCAAGACTTTCACCGTCCATTTGCTTAAGAGTATGTTTTATTTTCCCCTGTTAGTTTTGAAGGGAAATCTATAACTATCATAGAACAGAGTGTGTCTTTTTGCAGGGGGCTTAAGCAAATGGAAGTCAAAGGCCATTTTAGCAGATGGTTCTACTGCTTGGCTGCATGGGGGTGTATAACCATCTGCTAAAATGGCCTTTGACTTCCATTTGCTTAAGCCCCCTGCAAAAAGACACACTCTGTTCTATGATAGTGTACGGCTTGGAGAGCCATGTAAGTTACTCGGGCGGGCTTTTCTAGGCAAACGGAAGGGCTCAAAGGACAAGTAAAGATTCGTGTTTCTTGTAGGGTTGTCAAGAGTAGCGCCGGCCCTTTTGAAGCCAATTGCGCAGAGTTTTTGTTTGTAGCGACCGAAGCCCAGAGCCGCGGCTGGAATAGTGTGCCTGCGCAGTCCGTGTAGGCCGCGTAGGCTTTTTTGCGTAGGAGCTACCTCCGCGTAGGCTGAAACCTGTAAACAAGCAGCTCGCGTCTCGCGTAAGCTTGCGCGGCCTTTTCATGAACCCAACACAACTCTGCTCAATTGGGTGAAAGGTCAAAAAGGGGTACAAATCTCAGCACGGCTTCATGGTTTCCGAAGATGGGTGGCGTGTGGCGTGCCCCAGCGGACTTGGAAGCTTAGTGAACTCGCCGTGACTGCAAATGAAGGGCCAGGGCTTTGGAGAGAGTATACCCCCGTACTCAAAATACCTGTTTTTGTTCATGATATGTTTGGGAAGACATGGTTTTCCATGACAAATGCCTCCTTTTTTAGTAGAGGGTCGACGTGATACCCTGAAAAAGGAGGGTATTTGGAGTAGGGGGTACCGAAAGTGTTTGGCAAACCCCTCCCGACTGGGAGGTTTGACTTCCAAAGTGTGATCGGGTTTTTGGATATGTGTGGGGGTACTAGTACCACTTGTTTGGTGCTTGTAAAGAGAAGCCAGAAGCAACACCATTTGGGGCGGCCCACTAAAGAAGACGCACCCTTATGGAGCATGGTCCGGAATGGAAATGTTGACAAGGAAGCCCAAAGCAAATTCTTGTTCCGATTTGTCTCCTTAAGTGCGGGGTCATTCCAGTTCACACAGCATTTCTTGGTTTGGATGAGTCCATTCTCGAAGTCACGGCTCAAGTAGGTGTTATTTGATGCCTTCGGGTGACAAGGCACTGAAAATGGCGGATGCCTTTCGCACATGTTGGCCCTCCCTGTGTTTTGGTTCCGTTGCGAAGCCATGGCCATACTTGGGAAAATAGAATAGGATCGACGCAGAAAGGTATCCCCTCTACCAGCGTCTAACGTCCGATCCTGAGCTGCGGAAGTCGTTTTTCACGCATATATGTGAGTCCTGCAGGTGAGCCACAATCAAAATCCGGGTAGGTGAAGGTTAGCAAGATATAATCCCAACCAGAAATGGGTGCGGCCGCCTTGTTGTTCCAAATGATTTACATGCTTGCGGTTAGACGATTTAGAATACCGGGTTTTGATTATGACCCAGATGTCTTCGTTTCCAGTTGGTGAATTATAGCCGACCCAGAGGAAGGCGAAGCCCCGCTCAGGGCTTATGTCCCTCTGGACCTGAAGTGGCTGATTGCGTTGGCAAGCATAGCAGCGTGCGAGTTGTGCAGAAATCCAGTGACCCTTTCAAGCGGCAAGTCCCGATTCCGGCCCAAGTTTTCTGTTCGCGCAATTGAGCCCTCAGTGCCAAGTAAGTCTACAATACCTCTTCAGCCGTTGAAAATGACGTCGTGCACCGAACAAAGGCTAGGTCCCCCTTTTTTGGTTGGGAGGCTTCCCCTACTAAAATAGACAAGACTGAAAAAAAGTTGGCACCCTTATTCTAAGCCCTCAAATCTGGACGACCTACTGTGGATGGACGAAATCCTGTACCACCTAAGAAAATTTGGAGTGATCTTACTGGAGGACCTAGAAGGGTCGCGACCCCACTTCCAGGCTTCAAATATGCACCCGCACAGGTGGCCGATCGGCGCTGGGCAGGAACCCGAGGGAGAAAGGGATGGAAGCTTCCAAAGGTCGTCTTTTTTGAAAGACAACCCCACAAAGGGCGTTGGGTGTTGATTTTCAGGGTCCTTGGCCCAGTTCCCTTCCTTTTGCTGCTTTCCGGCTCGGATTCCGTTACCTCTGCGGCTTATGTGGGTTGGGATGTCTTTGGACACTCGTTGGACTTTGGCTGGTCAGGATAGACACCAGTCTTCAGATCCACGTTTTGCAAACGGACGACTCAACCCCAATCTGAGGGCAAAGCGAGGAAGAGTGGAGGGAGGCGCGCATGGTCAGCGAACCATAGCACCGTTGTCCTGCCATGGGCTTTGAGTCTCAGATTCTGTGTTTGATTCTGACATGTTAGTTGGGAGGGCCACATATAGCAGAACTCTTTCTGGGCGTTCTACAACCCCTTCATGTCCCCTTCATTCCCTTAATGCCTTTTCATTTCCTTTTCATGTCCCCTTTGTTTCCGCTTCATATCTTCTTAATTTCCACCTTCATTTCCCCTTCTTTTCCCCTTCATTTCCCTTCATGTCCCCTTCATATGCCCCTATTGTGTTTGCTTTGTTGTTTTGTTGCTGTTATTTCTTGACGATCGCTTTACTTCCCCTTCATGTCCTCTTTATGTCCGCTTCATTTCTTCTTCATTTCCGCCTTCATTTCCCCTTCTTCTCCCCTTCGTGTCCCTTCATTTCCACTTCATATGCCCCTATCGTGTTTGCTTGGTTGTCTTTTCGCTGTTATCTCTTGATGTTCCCTTCATTTTCCCTTCATTGTTCTTCATGGTCCACTTTCTTTCCCTTCACGGACACTTATCGTGTTTTGTTCGGGTTTGTCAGTGGAATTTTATTTCCCTTTGTTTCCCGGCAGTTGTTGTTTCTTTCTTTTCCTATCGCTGTGCAACATTTGGATTCAATGTTTAAAACATGGCTCCCTTTCCAAGGTCCACCCAGGAATCGTGCGGCCCTGAAAGCACGAAACGGCTCGGGGTCCAGGAGCTGTCCCTCATCGACTTCGCGGACCTGTGCGCGCTGACCAACCTGGGCTCCAGCTTCAATGCCTCGCTGGCGCAGTTTGGCCCAAAGCCGGGGAGTCGGCCTGGCGGGTTCAGCTTCGTAGATGGGAGGTGGGATCCAAAATCGATTTGGATCCCAGTTTGGGGTAATTAGGTGAATTCACCACCCCCTGTTAGATTTTAGAGGGGATTGGGATGTTCACTGGGGGTACGGAATTTTGACCCATGGCCATATTTGGATGTGTCTCTTTTTTGAGGGAGCATCCCTTTTTGGGTGGTTTCAAAGGGAAACCGCAAGGAAACCCACAAGCATAGGAAGTCCCTGAAAAATAGACACCCATACTGTTGCCAATTCTACAGTCAGCTTTCTTCCGTGGCCTCACAAAGAGGTGTCACCACCCTGTCCATGACTCTAGGTCTCATAGGGGACCCGGATTTTGCCCAAAGCCAAAGACGTTTGCAAGTGTCCTGTTTGGTGTGGGAACGGTTATATATACATATATATACATTTCCCCGCTTTCCCCGCTCGTTTGGCCAACTCTAGTTGACTTTCAAGGTTGAGGGGTCACATGTGTGACACTTCGCTCTGCTTCCACAGGCTTCTTGGAGCGGCCTCCCTTCCTTGTGAGGGTTCCCTGTTTGCGAGTGGCGTTTAAAGGAAATACAACAAACATCTGGGGCTCCCTGATGCAAAAGCAACAGGGCCCAGAGCCCTTTGCCGGCCCTCTTCCCATGCGGTGTCGACACGGCGCGCGCCTGGCCGCCCGCGCTCGTGAGTCCTCACACACGCGCCTCCGTGAGGTCCCAATTCCCAGGGTGGACCTTGGTCTACGAGCGAAGGGCCGGATCGACCCAGAAAGTTGGCCACGGCTTCAACGACTGGACCACCTTCTTCGAGCTGGCAGACCCCAGCCGCTCGGACAACGTTTTGAGGCTTTCGGTGAATTCACCACCCAGTTTAGGACCTATTTTAGAGGGGATTGGCATGTTCACTGGGGTACGGGCTTTTGACCCATAGCCATATGTAGAAGGTTTCCTCATATTGTGTGGCTTCGAGTGAGGGCAATGGACTTTGTGGTTTTCAAGAGAAGCCGAGGGGAATCCGTTCTGCCATTTGGGGGGTCCCAAAGAAAGACACTCTCATGTGAGGTGGCTCAAAATTTGAGAGCCAGGAACCGCAGGTTTTAGTCTACTTGTCCCGTTACCAGGGTTCCATTTGCACCCGTTTTACGGGCTGGTGGGGCAACCGACCGGCGGGAAGCTTATGCTCCCATGGAATCTGACTGTGCAACCCACTTAGTATGTGGTTGAACATCCAAAACTGGTAAAGGGAGGACACAGCTGAGTGCTAAGCAACCCAGACATATATGTGAGTTCCCCTGATGCCCGCAACCAACCGCATGGGGAGAAGAAATTGCGCCACTTCTTGAACAACCCAAACAGTTGGCTGAGGTGGGGGACGACTCGAAAACAACATAGATTTCCTTGGTAGTCAATAGATTCAGGGTTCCGCTTGTTTGACTTCCCCAAGAAAGGCTTAAACCCAAGGGTTCTTTTTTTGGGGGAATGAACTGGGTTTAAGTCTATCCTGGAGTAGTGAGAAAGTGGAACCCTAAATAGATTCCTCTTGAAGTATGAAATCTCCAAGATATTTTTTTTTGAAAAGAGAATGGGATGGGCCATTGAGCTACATTTCCCGACCGCCCCCATACCCTTTACCAGTACTGCAATTACACTTCAAGGTTTTCTCACAGGAACACCAGTGATGTGCAGGAACCCACACGCAAAGGCTTCCAAGCAGCTCCCCACCCCTTACAACAGTAGGCAATGACGTCGGGCTGGTTGGAGGTTTGGGCTGTCCGTCCCACTTGAGAGCACGGCATGCTGAGAAGCCGGAAACACGTTCAGGATACATTCCCCCCCCCTCCCCTAGGGCAAGTTTCGATTGGCTGAATTCGAAGCCCTAGGCCCAAGGAACCTTTCCGTACGCCTGAAATCCGCTTCGCATGGGCCGATTTTTTGACTTCAAGTTAAACGCCGTTGTGGACAGCTCACGAAACCTGAGTTTTTACTTCAGCGACCTGCTCTACAGAATTTGCCCTCAAAGAACTTGGTGGCTCCCAGCCATCCCCTTAGCTTTTTAGCCGTTTAGGGTTTAGTGGTACTTTCCATTTAACCCACCAAAAGTTAAACTTTCAAGCGGGGGATCTGAGGCCAGCCCAGAGAGTTTGCCTACTTGGGCCCGCGAAGTGAGCAAGGAATCGGCTGAGCTCGCTGACCTTTCGACACCCAACTTGCCAGCTGAGGCAATGAGACTACGGTCTTTGCGCTCCGCGGCACGCAGAGTCCACTGGACGTGCTGCAGGATCTGTGGCTGGCCCAAAAAGAACGCAAGAAGGGCCTGGACATTTCAGCGAACGTGTGGGGACTCCCCAAGGATGGCTGTAGCATTGCAGTGCTGAGTTATCAGAAGCACCCGAAGAGGGAGCTGCGATGAGGGAGGTGGATGCCCTATTCAGCTCGATTGCGAGTGGAGGAAGAAGGGAAACCCTGTCCTTGTTGTGCGTAACTTAGCAAGATTGTGTAGTTGAATTTGCTTCATTCGACTGCGATATGTTAAGGAACCCACCGCATGGGAAAGTATCAAAGCAGGGGCCCCTTGTTGACATCATTTCGGTGTAATTCTGATGCCACCCTTGAACAGGATCCGAAAAAGTGCTCACCCATGCACTCATAAGGGTGACAGGTGTTTCTTAAAGAGTCTCAAAATATTGGGCTGCCTTTGGGTTTCCCTTTCAAGCCACACATGGCAACTCGGTTGTTGTTTTTTTTGTTTAATGGTGCCCCGTTTTGGGGAAACCAAAGGAAAGCCAGACTTTGTTTGGGCCTCCCCCAAAAAGACAAACCCGTATGGGCCCTTCTGGAAAAGCGAGACTCTGTTCCCACCTTTGCGCACTTGATTTCAGTAGAGAGCCGACGTTTAGGGGCCACTCAGAAAGTGAGAAAACTGGAATGCGCAGTTAACCAACCAAATGGAATGACCGACTTTCGTCGACAGCCTGGGAGAATTGCCACAGTTTGTCCGACGTGTTTTGAAGCCAGGAACCCACCTGTTCCTTTTGCCCAAAGTTCACATCGCGGGCATGGGAGCTGGTTGGGGTCTTCCCACTCATTCGAGCCACTGAAGGCTGGCAAGGGACGGTCCCAACCGGAATTAGGCGCTGCCGCCTCAGTCCTTTACATTGGTTTTGGTAGACCATTTTGGCACAAGGGTTTTGTGCTTCACATGGTGAGTGCCCCGATTCCGAGAGTTGGGGGGGTGATTTCGGTGATCCGCGCGTTTTGGCATGCAAGGAATATCTTCACACCTGTGGCCGTCACGCAGATTGCTGCCTATTTGGGCCATTCGGCAACGGAAAAGGCCTTGGGTGGGCCGATAGCAACCTGGAGTCTCGGGGTCATATGGGGGTTTGGGATCCCCTTGAATGTGTGTTTGATATGTGTTTCTGGTTGCCTCCAGATAGCAACCCAAAGCGGGTCCGATTTCCATTTTGAGAAGCTGTGTATTTTTTGAGGGTGCCCCTGTTTGTGGATTTGAAGGGAAACCAACAGAAAAAACTAGAAGATGAATGGCCCGAAAGCACCAGCAGCAGCGGCAAGTTTTCCCCTGTGCAAGTTCCTCTGCGCCGGTTGTTGGCGCGAGTTCCTGCTTGGCACAAGTTCGCTGAGCAAGTTCTCTGAGCCAGTTTCTCTGACAGATTCCTATGAGCAAGTTCTCTGAGCACGTTCTCTCCGCGCAGCCCCCGACCGCAACTCTGCAACAAATTCTTTGGAATACAATTGCCGCCCCGGACCTGCGAAAGTATACTGCGCGTAATTGTTTCGTTGTTGAAAGTTGCGATCTGCCAGCCAGAGCCTTCTGAACGTGTACTTTGCGCGCTGCTCTCGTAGCTAAACATAATTAGCCGCCGCCTTCTGAAAGTGTACTTCGCGCACTGCGAAAGTGTACTTTGCCGTGCTACTTTCGCACTTAAAAGTTGCGATTTTCCCACAAGTGCACTTCGCGAACTGGCTTTCCAACTGAGGAGCTGCGTGGGCCAACCAGGATTCGAGCCTGGGGCCACGCATTCCAAGAGCAGGCTCGCAAGCCGCGAGACAAACTTTCAAGTCCGCATTCCGACACGAAAAAGTACACGCCAATCGCGCGAGCCGCGCAAAATCAATAAAGGGTTCAGGATCTTGACATCTACCACGCCAATCTGCACAGAGGGTCGCGCGAGCACCGCAGAAACCGTAAGAAGTCCACAGTTTTTTGACGTCGACGACGTCGATCCCCGCACAGGGTCGCGCGAGCACCGCAGCGACTTTTCGACCGCAAAGTTGGTCAGCCCCGCTGCCTTCAAATAACTTAGGCTTGTCGAGCTTCACTTCTTTTCACGCACGAGTTCATACAAGAATTTGTTAGCAAAGATATTTATCAAGGGAGGGGTATTTATTTTAGGATTTGTTTTCGTGTTTGTTTGTTTTTATGATTTTTTTTCGCTTTTGGCTTCTTGGCTTCCTGGCTTTTCGGCTTCTTGGCTTCTCGGCTTCTGGGCTTCTGGGCTTTCCGGCTTTTTGCTGGTTTATGCGGCTTTTGGTGGCTTTTTGGCTTTTCGCATCCGCTGCATTCCCAGTTTTGGCTTTTGCGGTTTTTCGCTGGTTTATGCGGCTTGGGCGACTTTGGCTTTTCGCATCCTTCGGGCTTTTTGGCTTTTGCGCCCTTTCATTGGTTTTTGGATTTGGCTTCCCGGATCATCAGCATCACCACCGCCCTATATGAATCATTACTTCTTCGGACATCATGGGGGGGGAACCCCCCCCCCCAACCCACCCGCTACTGTTTAGATTGTTTGCAGAGTAATTGCACCCCTATTTGAATCAACCTGGACCGCCGCAGGTGCTGGTTTTAAGCAGCGACTTTGGAGAAGTGACAGAATAATTGCCACTTTGTGAAAGTGACTGATTTGTTGCGCCACTTTAGTATAAGTGGCATTTTTTCTGTCACTGTGACTGAAACTGATCACTCTGGTGGACCGAACATGCATTTTCAATGGATCACCCACTTCAGATCGCATGTTTGCAACAGATCACCAACTTCAGGGACCCGTGCAAAAGCTTTCTGCTGCAGCCATGGTCATCTGATGTGATCGGGGCCTCGAGATCGTCAAGGACTGCATTCTCTTGCAAGTAGCGGGGTGTAGGGCAGATCATGATCTTTATTTTTTGGAATGGGACCCCAGCGTGACATGCGAGAAGACATGGAGCTTGCACGCGGAGGTATACATGCATGAATTCTAGAATTCTTGGCATGAGGATCACGTGCCATGCAGCTCGATGTATCACATCGTATCCCGTGGCAGGAGATTGGCGCGCTGCTCGCGCGATCTGCGACAGGTGGGCGTCAGCCACAAGGCTGGGTGTGGGAGGCCATGCATGCCCGGGCCGTTGTTTTTCGGGGTTTTCGGGACCCTTTGACAGATGCATTATTCGATCGGACACAATCGCATGTGCGCAGTGCAGCCATTTTGGCTTTGCGGTTTTGGCGCTTCCTGGATCGCCAGTTGCTGCTTTTTTCCATGCACTTTACCCCAACGACCAGCAGCATCCAGTGACTAAAAAAGCAGATAACTTGGCTGTAGGTTGGTCGGTGCTGTACCATGGCACGCCTTGAAACCGATCGCGATCTGGTGGAGGCTTGGGAAGCTGCGGGGGTCATCAGGCGGAGGATGAAGGCTGGATCGGAGTGGTTGGATGTCCCTGGCAACAAGCAGGAGGCCGAGGGTGCGGAGGGGGACCGGGTGATGAGCACTATGGCATTGGCCCGCAATGCGGACGCGGTTCTTGCAGTGGCTCGAAGGTATGCCCCGAAGAAGGTGAAGGTGAAAACGTTGATGCAGCCTATCTACAAGCTCTACGAGAGCTTCAGCTGCATCCCGAACAAGACGCAGTGCTACGTGGACGCATGGCTGGTGCGGCGTTTGTACACATACGCCCGGAGAAGACAGAGGGATGCCTTGAGAAGGGATCAGACACCAAGAGCGCCTCAGATAGCCAGCATTGCTTTGTTTCAGTCACGGTTGCTGGTTTTTGGGGGTGAAGTGCATGCCGGTAAAGACCGGCAACTGGCGATCATCCTTTTTCTTTTTTTCTTTTCGGTACATGCACGCTTTCGTGATTTTCCCCCTTTTTGTTGTTTTCGGTACTTAAGCATGCTTTTGTGATTCCTTCTGCGTGCTAGGACAAATCGGTGCGGGCCATTTTCAAGGTGCTTCACGACTTCAGCCGTGAGGGCTCCGAGTCGGAGGAGGACGATGATTCGGACGAGGAGTCCAGCGATTCCGAGGTGCCGAGCTATGAGGACTGCGACATGATGAACTCCGCAGATGCGGCGGCTGTGGAGAGCGAGGAGCAGAACGAGGAGAGCGATCAGCTCGAGCGTCAGGCCAGGAAGGCCGCCAGGAAGGCCAAGCAGCAGAAGGACGACAAGCAGCAGAAGGACGACAAGCAGCAGAAGGACGACAAGCAGCAGAAGGATGACACGGAGCAGAAGGACGATGAGAAATGCAAGCTTGAAGCCGAGCTGGCAGCGCTGCTGGCAGAGATTGCGGCAGTGCGGGCAGAGAGGCCTGCGGAGGGATCCCGAGATTTTTTTGCAGTTGCTGTTTCCCCTGTTATGATTTTTAGCGATTGCTCATTTCTGATTTTATTGGCCCTATAGGACGGAGAAAAAGCCAGATCTCGAGTCGGTGGAGACCGCGCCAAATCCCGAATTGGTGAAGACGAACAAGGAGCACACTGAAGGCGGCCCTATATATTCACTTTTTTTGCATTTGCATGGCGTATCATTCCGATCTATTTGCACCTTTGGGTGAATTTCCTTGGGCATGCAACCGACACGGCTAATCCCGGTGAAAATGCATGCGTGCATGCGGCTTGATCCGGCTTGCGCCAGGTGATTCGGAACCTGCGGATCCTGGTGATGGGGAACCTGCGGATCCTGCACCTGTGCTTCGGGGCAACCCAGATCAGGATTCTCGCTCGGGTCTTCGGTCGCGAAATCATGATCGCGGGTCAAATATATGTCGGTCCCAGCTAATTATCTGCGAATTGGAAATCGAGCTTCGCAACTTGCATGCGTGGGTCGTGTGCCTTCAGGAGGAGACACAGGTCTACCAGATCGTGGAGAGGGAGACCATGGAGACCCCCCAGCCGGTGGACAAGGGTTTGTTGACGAGACCCCGGAGAAGGCAGGGTGCACGGGCCATTGATCTCCGCGCCCATATATGATCTTATACGCGTGTGATAGCACATTGCCCACACGCGCGTGTAGAGGAAAAGCCAAGTCAAAGACATGCGTGCCGATCACTGTGACCATGCATGCAGTTTCTTCAGCACCGATAGCCAAGTTGCTGCTTTGTTCAGTCGTTTTTGGGGTAAAGTGGACGGACAAATGCATATGGCGATCCATTAAGACGCGAATTTGGGCAGTTGACCACCTCACCTTTTAACGGGTGCATTTTCCAAAATCGGACGTGCCTGAGCACCCCTATATTTTCTCGAGCTGTGAGGTGGATGCACCTCTGGTGATGGTGGACCCGGCGGAGCAGAACAAGCTTCGCAAAGACTTAGCGAAGCATCTCAAGCCAGGCAGAAAGCGCCGCCGCCCGGCCTCCAAGACGGAAGATGAAGTGGGTTGGTGGGGCGCAGAAGCCGATGCTGCTGGTCAGGACTCGGGGACTACAGAAGCACACTCCAAGCAAAGCGCAGCAGCCAGTGCGCCTGTGTGGAGTGGCTGGAAACGGTTTGAGACTCCGGGGAAATTCCCAACGCCAGCCGCTGTTGCGAACAATGTTCACAAGAAGTGCAAAAAGCAGAAGGCATCCAAGCCTATTGATGAGTGGGACGATGAGAAAGAGTCGGAGATGTGGGCATGCTTTCAGGCATGGAAAGATGGTTGCGAGGAGAACCCTGCGATAGGGCGTCAACCGGAAGGACCGCACCAAGAAGCACAAGGCCGCCTTCGAGCCAATCGAGGCAAAGGAGCCGAAGGAGCCGAAGGAGCCGAAGAAGCCGAAGAATCTGAAGGAGCCAAAGGAGCCCGAAGAAACGAAGCCGAAGGAGCCGAAGGAGCCGAAGGAGCCGAAGGAGCCGAAGGAGCCGAAGGAGCCGAAGGAGCCGAAGGAAGCCGAAAGAAGACGAAGCCGAAGGAGCCGAAGGAGCCGAAGGAGCCGAAGGAGCCGAAGGAGCCGAAGAAGTCGAAGAAGTCGAAGGAGCCGAAGAAGCCGAAAGCCGAAGGAGCCGAAGAACCAGAAACGCTCCTACTTCCGCGTGGACCCCACCCAGCGACCAGGTTGTTGGC